AAAAAAAAAAAAAAAAAAAAAAAGAATAGGGAACAGGTCCACCCGTGTTTCCAAGCTGGGAGTGTATCTCAGAAATAGGTGTACGCAGAGGTGAGGATATCCATAGACCGAGGCCTCTTGCCGCACTGCTGTGGTGAGGGGAGAGGGTACAAAACAAAGTGAATGACCCCCTCACACACACACATTGAGTTCAGAGTTGAATAAAATAGAGAATGTCGCAGCCGCAATAGAGCATTGTGTGATCCTCAATCCAGAGTCAGGCTTCGTGGCACACGGTTCTAATTTCAGCACTCCAGAGGCAGAGGCAAGTGAATCTCTGTGAGTTCAAGGCCAACCTGGACTATATAGTCAGAGCTATGTAGTTAGATCCAGTAAACACATAAATAAACAAGGCTGGTCAGGGGATACATCAGTTGGTAGAGTCAGCACTCAGGAGGCAGAGGCAGGAGGATTTATTGCCTTGAGTTTGAGGCCAGCCTGGGCTACAGAGTGAAACTCGGTCTAAGGAAGAGAAAGAATTAGAATAATCATGAGTTCAGACCAACCAGGGCTTCAGAGTTTAAAGTCAGCCTTCACCTCACAGTGAAAATCTTGTCTCTTAAAAACGAACAAGAACGAAGTCTGTCGGGTTAGTCCCAGCCGTTCATTGACTTCCTCTCCACAGTGGCAGACCTGCTCTACTGGAAGGACACCAGGACGTCTGGAGCCGTCTTCACGGGCCTCATGGCCTCTCTCCTCTGCCTCCTGCACTTTAGCATCGTGTCTGTGGCTGCGCACCTAGCCCTGCTGGGTCTCTGCGCCACCATCTCTCTCAGGGTTTACCGCAAAGTGCTCCAGGCCGTGCACCGGGGTGATGGCACCAACCCTTTCCAGTGAGAACTCATGACCCGGCTCAGCTGACCATGCACTGTGGTCCTTGACCTCCGCTCATGCACGGCCCACTCTCCTCCTCATTGTGAACCCTGGTCCCCAGCCCTGATTCCTTCCTTTATCCTCGACTCCCTTTCCTAACCCTGCTCTTCCACCAGACGTCCCATTTACACCCATGTTAAAGTCACTTGGCCCAGTCTGAGCCCTCCCATCACCCACACACACACACTGAGTTACACCACACTCCTTGACCCCATCAGGGCCTACCTGGACATGGACCTGACCCTGACCCGGGAGCAGACAGAGCGTTTGTCCCAGCAGATTGCCTCCCAAGTGGTCTCCACAGCCACACAGCTGCGGCATTTCTTCCTGGTAGAAGACCTGGTGGATTCTCTCAAGGTACCCCCTGTAGCCCGAAGCTTATCTGTTGTTCCTGCCTGGTGCTGCAGCCACTTACAAAACAATCACTCAGGCCGGGTGGTGGTGGCGCACGCCTTTAATCCCAGCACTCGGGAGGCAGAGGCAGGCGGATCTCTGTGAGTTCGAGGCCAGCCTGGTCTACAAAGCTAGTGCCAGGACAGGCTCCAAAGCTACAGAGAAACCCTGTCTCGAAAAAAACTAAAAAAAAAAAAAATCACTCAGAGGCTTAATATTAGCTATAATTGTTTGGCTGATAGCTCAGGCTTATTACTGGCTAGCCTCTTACACTTAAATT